TCAGAGGACACTTCCTTCCCGCAGCGGGCTTTGTGGTTTTCTGATCAGGGATGGGAGTGGGGAGTGGTGTGTCTGGCAGAAGAGCTAAAAATGCTCTCCCCGCTGCTTGTTGATCCTTATGAATGGGCCGTGGGAGCTGAAGCCTCTGTCTGCCTCAGCTGAAGTCTGCTTGCTTGTTCAGCCATCTGTCAGACACACGCACGGGCAAGTTATAGTCGCCGTCTGTGCTGCGCCCCTTGGGAGAGCTTGTTCCTTCCCGCAGTCCTGTCCTCATAGCCTAGTGACAGTGGACACAGAACACTGACTAGTGACTTTTCTGGCACTTGCTGTATACCAGTCACTGCATGAGACATGCCTTATCTTGGCTACGTCTTAAAACAGCTCTGTGCGACAGGTACTGAGATTTTTCCATTCTACTGGTGAGGAAACTGAGGCCCAGAGAGGTTAAGTGACATGTCTGAGACCACACAGCTGAGAAGAGCAGAACTGGGCCTTGAACCCAGGAAGGCTGGCCTCAGGGCCTGTGCTCTTGGCTTCTAAACAAATAGTTGAGATTCTCACCTCTTGTGGGATTGTTTGCTGGTTATAAATAGTACACTCATTTGTTCACTTGTGATGCAGGGAGGGAGGGCTCTTCTGTGGCTCTGGTTCCCCACCAGGTGTCCTGATAGGCCTGAGAAGCGAGGCTCCTAGTCTGCCTCAGACTTAGGGTACAAACATCTCACAAGTGTGCAGCCAAGTTGGAAGCCCAGAAACATCACCCAGTCTCTTCTTCCACTAACTGGGGGCCTCCTTGGGGACTTCGCTTCCTCACTGACACTCGTCCCTTGGCGATCAGGCACTCTCTGTCTCTGAAACACATTCTTCCTCACCCCCTCCTCAGGTTACTGTCTGTCTCCCCCCTTTCCTCCCCTGGTACTGCTTATCCATCCTCTTCCTCTCACCCCCCAGTCCCCAGCTGGCTTCTCCTCTCCTGGAGCTGTTTTCTGGAAGGTCACAGGGCGTCCGGGCTGCCCCGCTAGCTCCCCTTCCCTCATCTCCCTAGTCTTTTTGCTGGCAGGAGCTGGAGCCCCCTGGGTCCTGTTTGGGCTCTTGCCTGATGCTGGTCATGCCTGACCCCCTTCCTTCCTCGCCATCTGCTTGTCACTGCCGCTGCTGGTGCTGTTGCCCCATAGTTCACTCACATGGGAGGGTCAGGGGTCTGTCAGGTGCAGTGAGAGAAGCCAAACACAGAGTCGTTTGGGAAAAAAAATCCATGTGTACCTTATAAGGTTGGCAACTCCATGCAAAGTCCTAGCTGCAGGGGGAGGCCACCCAAACTCTAGGCTAGCCTGTCCCCATCTATGCCCCCATTGCCGTGCTTGGGGATGATGGGGAAGGTTCTCCTTGAGTGGTAGTGGGGATGGTCATCAACTGCTCCAGCTTCAGCCCATGGGCTGAGCCATCCTGGTAGAGAGACAGAGCAAGTCTCCTTGCCAACAATTTTGGGGGTCCCGGAGGGACTGTCCTAGCTGAGGGCTTGTGCCCATCTCTGAACCAATCACTGGGACTCTGGGTGGCCTGTCCTGGATCACATGCCCACCCCTGGGGTGGGGAGGGGGAAGCCCCACCCAAACCAGGAGACGCACTGGGGGAGGGCACCTTCCTAAGGGCAGAGTGGGACATTGCCTCCCAAAGAGGGACAAAATCTCTTCCTCTTGATTACAACAGTCTCTCCGCCCTTGGTCTTCCTTGTCTTGTGTCTGTTGTGTGAAAAGTTGGCATCACAGCTAGCTCTGGGGGGCTGTCCTCCCAAAGCAGTCCCCCATTGCTGGAGTAAGTCTTCCTAGGGCACTTCCCTAAGCAAGTCACTCTTCTGCTTGTGAACCATCTATGCTGCCCCTCTGCCCATTGAATTATTCCCAGACTTTCAGCTTGGCTTTCTAATGGTTTGTCCCCACCAGCATCTCTTAGGGACACACATGGGATAGTTCCACACTCTCTTTGTGCCCTGCAGCCTGACCCTGAAACACTCCCAGCCTTGATGCCTTTAGTTTTGGAGGTTCCCTCCATGAGGAATTCCTCTTCCCCATTTCAGACCATCTCAGACTCAGCTACTCACCTAGCTTAATGATCCCTTTTTTCCAGCTGTCAGGATGCTTTGGAAACAGAACTATTTTGGATTCTCACCTTGACTGTGCCTCCCACTCACTGTGTGGCCTTGGGCAAGTGCATCCCTCCCTCTGTGCCTGGTTTGGGGTCTGTGAAAGGAGGTTCCTGACAGCGGCTGCCTCTGACGGTTCCTGGGAAGGTCAACTGAAATAACACATCTGAAACAAGCACGGGCCCTGATGTACCCTGGCTGCCCTTACCATAACTTTGTATATGATTATTTTTACTCATGTAGTGCTGAGTACCTTCCGTTCTGAAGCAAGTGTGCCCCAGCTCAGTGCACAGTAGACAGCAGCCCCAGGCAGGCACACAGTAGGCATCAGGTCCTACGTGGGCATGTTAGACCGTGGCCTAGGTCCACGCGCAGTGGCTGTTCAGTACACGGCAAGAGGTGGTCAGCATAGCAGTTAAGGATTTGGGCTGTGTCAGATGGCCTGGGTTCAACTACCTGCCAGTCATATGACCTGGAACAGGTGAGTTGCCCATTGGTAACTCTTCTCCTATAGGTGTGGTTGTCGGGAAGGTTAAGAAAGCAAGTGCCTGGTGCCTGGGACATAGTCAGCACTCCGTAATGTCAAACTGTGACTGTCCTTTTGTTTGCAGAATTTCAGTGACATGGAAATAGAGTACATCGTCTGAGGGCATCAGAAAGGTGGGTGGGGCAGAGGTGACGGTGATGCTAAACTGGGCTGGAGTGTGTCTGGGTAACTCAACAGAACCGCTGGGAGTCAGGAGGAACCAGGGCTCTGCCTGCACAGGTGGAGGGGAAGCCTGGATGAAGTCTGATTTCAGCACGAAGGTCTTACACAGCGTGTGTGTGTGTGTGTGTGTGTGTGTATGTGTGTGTGTGTGACGAGGCAATGGCACAGGCTGTCCACGAAATCACATTTTTTTTTTTTTTTTTTTTTT